GAGGCGTGGGCGGGGCCGGCTGGGGCGGGGAGGGCGGGGCCGGTAGCGGGACCTCCACCGGGTCTGGATCCCGTCCATCTCTGCCCTGCGACCTCTGGGGGCGAGTCGTGGGTTTGGGGTCTCCCAGACCCAGGCAACTGAACTTTTGGAATCTGGCCTGGCCCGGGAGGATATTTATGGAGTTATGCCAATAGTATCTGGCCTTGATGCTTTAACTTGTTTCCTCTCACCTTTTTACATTTAAAATTTTTTAAATTTATTTTTTATATTTTGTAAAGGTGTCTCTCTATGTTGCCCGGGCTGGTCTCGAACTCCTGGTCTCAAGCGATCCTCCCGCCTCTGCCTCCCAAAGTGCAGAGACAACAAATTATAGGCGTGAGCCACTGCGCCCGTCCTGTTTTGCCGCTTTTTTTGTCTCCTGGGTTGGAGAGGGTGGGCGAGGTTTTAGCAAATGGTAGTACCGTTCTGGGAGACGGTTTTCCCAGCGACGGTCCCACTCGTCCGCGGAGTTTATTTCGGCTCCGATAAGTACTCTGAGCAATTTCTCCTCCCAAACCAGTCGCCCAAAAAGAATCTGTGCCCAGGCACTTTCTAGCCAAGCTCTGGGCGGTGACGCGCGGTGGCCTGACGGTGTTGTGATCCGCGGGCGCGAGGGGGCGGGGCGCGGAGGCGGGCGGTGCCCTGGGCTACCCTGTTTTTGTTGTCAATTCAGCCCGGTCGGGAAAAGTGCTAGCACCGCACCCCCTGCTGGCCGAGCCACGCGGTGAACCCGTGGGCGTGAGAAAACCCGAAGTGTGATCCTGAACTGGGAACCGAGGTCCCTTTTAAGTTCTGGGTGAAATCGGATAAAAGAGAAGCATCTTCATTTGGGGGCCAGCACTTATTGTGTGTGTGTGTGTGTGTGTGTGTGTGTGTGTGTGTGTGTGTGTGTGTGTGTATCTTTAACTAATTTTTATCGTATGTGTTTCTGGTAACGTTTCCCCTCAAATTTCAGTTATTCAGACCACTCAAAAACATCGGTCATTTCCATTATGAAGTTAAGGATATGGGAAGTAAAAATTTCTTTCCCAACAGTGGAAGCAAATGTACAATGAAAGACTGAATATCCATATGTAGCAATGACCAAGCCCAGTCCTAGGTAGGCCCATGATGCAGGTGACCTTCCCAATCCTGACCTACAAAAGTGCTGTTTCAGTTCCTGTCTTGTCTGGTCCCCTCTTCATCCCTGAGATGCTCACCTGGCTGACCTGGCAGTGAAACTACAGGCACTTTCCTCAGGACCTTCAGCCCTAGATACTCGGTGATGACCCCTGGCCCCCCTCCGACTGTGTTCACTTCCCAGACTCTGGTTCCTGGTGGGGTCTCACTGATGAGAAAGTATTGTAGTGTGTCCTAATGCAGGACATCTCAGTGTGGGTACTAGAAGCATCTCCTGGGAACTTATTAGAAATGCAGATTCTAGCCGGGCTCGGTGGCTCAGCCTGTAATCCCGCGCCTTTGGGAGGCTGAGGTGAGTGGATTGCCTGACTCCGCGGGTTCGAGACCCGCCTAGGCAGCAAGACCTCATCTCTACAATAAATCAAAAAATCAGCCCGGTGTGGTAGCGCATGCCTGTAATTCCGGCTACTCGGAAGGCTGAGGTGGAAGGATCGCCAGAGCCCAGCAGGTCGAGGCTGCGGTGGCCGGGAGCGGCCACTGCACTCCAGTCTGAGCGACAGAGTGAGACTCCAACTCAAAGAAAAAAGAAATGCAGATTCTTTTTAAAAAAAAAATTTTTATTATAAAGATGTGGGTACATTTCAGGGTTAGGTATATAAACACTGATCATGCAAGTACCCTTGTTGATGAGGTATGCTCCTCCGTCCCCTAGCAGTTTCCCTCAACTGCCAATCCCACCCCCCCACAGTTTCCCACTACTGCCAATCACTTTCTTATAGCATTATAATTGTTCAAGATCCTTTATGAGTGGGAACATATGAAACTCTGTTCTTTGTTTTTGTGATAAATCACTGAGTATGATCGACTCCAGATCCATCCAAGTTACTGCAAAGTCCATATATTTGTCCTTATTTATGACTGCATAATATTCCATTGTGATATGTACCACATTTTTTTATACAGTCCAACTTCGAAGGGCAACACAGTTGATTCCATGTTTTTGCTATTGTGAATAGTGCTGCAACAAACATAAGTGTGCAGGTATCTTTTTTTTTTTTTTTTT